AGAATGATTCTCACCACTTAATTTCCAGAATATCCATTGGTTTCCAAAGTATCAGGATGGTGTCTGAGACTGGCACAGCATGCCTTAAAAGTGATCCTTGAAAGAAAACAAGACCCATATATGTGCCATCTACAACAGACCCACTTCAGATTGAACAACACACACAGAGACTGAAAATAAAGGGATGAAAACAGACAGTTCATGTAAATGGGGAAAGAAGCTGGGGTAACAATGTTTATCCCAGACCAAGTAGACTTTAAAACAAAGGCTATAAGAGAAACAACATGACATTACAGAATGATAAAGGGATCAATCCAGTCAGCGCATATAAACCTTGTAAACATTTATGCACCCAATTTAGGAGTACCTAAATATATAAATCAAATATCAATGGATGTAAAGGTGAGAAAAACTGTAGTACAGTCATAGTAAGGGATTTTAACATTGCATTGCCATCAATGAATATATCTTCCAGGCAGAAAGTCAATAATGATGCAATAGACCGGATGAATGTAATTGGTATTTTCAGAGCATTTTACCCCAAAGAAGCTGAATATAGATAGCTTCTTTTTGTATACACATGCAAGAAGATTGAAATCATACCAAGCATCTTCTTCTGCTACAATGGGATAAACTAGAAATCAATTATAAGAAAGAAACCAAAAACACACGAACACATGAAGACTAAATAATGTGTTACTAAACAATGAATGGGTTAACAATAAGATCTAGAAAGAAAAGATATTTTGAGACAAATGAAAATGAAACACAACAACCCAAAATCTATGGGATACAGCAAAAACAGTCCCAAGAGGTAAATCCATAGCAATACAGACAGTTCTGTCTGAAGAAACAGGGAAAAACCCAAATATATACTCTTACCTTAAGGAACTTGAAAAAACCCAACAAAGCCCACAGTGAGTAGAAGGATGAAAATAATAAACATCAGAGCAAAAAAAAAAACCCAAAATAGAGTGTAAAGAAGCAATACAAAAATAAAACCAAGAGTGGTTCTTGAAACAGTTAAAAGCAATGAATAAACCTTTAACAACACTCATCAGGAAAAAAAAGAGAGAACTTACCACTATCTCCAAAAGAGAAATAAATGAGAAGTAAAACCTGACACCACAGAAATACAAAAGATTCTAAGAAAGCATGAACAACTATATGCCAACAAATTAGAAAATGTGGAAAAAATGGATCAATTTTTAGAAACAATTTTCTAAGACTGAAGCAAAAAGAAACAGAAAATCTGAACAGGCCAATTACAACCAACAAACTCTAAGCAGTAATAAAAAACAGCAACAAACAAAAGTCCTATAACAAATGGCTTCACTGGTAAATTTTACCAAACATTCACAGGAAAATGAACACCTCCTTCTTATACTATTTAAAAAATTCAAGAGGAAGAAGACTCCCAAACTCATTTGAAGAGGCCAGCATTATCCTGATTTCAAAACCAGGTAAAGACGTTACAAAGAAGTAAAATTATGGGCCAATATTTCTGATAAATATAAATGCAAAATTCTTAACAAAATATTAGCAGACCAATTTAGAGATACATTAAAATGATCGTACACCATGATTAAGTGGGATATATTCCCAGAATTGAAGCACGATTCAATATTCAAAAATCAATTAACATGATATGCCTCACAAACAAAATGAAGAATAAAAATCATATGATCATATCAATAGATACAGAAAAACATTTTACAAAATCCAACACCAATTTATGATAAAAACTCTCAGCAAAGTGAAAATAGTGGGAAAATGACTGAACACAATAAAAACCACATTTGACAAACCCCTATCCAAAATCAAACTTAATGGGGAAAAAGAAAAAGTGTTTTCCCTAAGATCAGGTACAAGACAGGGATGTCTATTTTTACTACTCTTATTCATCTTAATATTGGATGTCCTAGCCACAGAAATCAGACAAGAATAAGAAATAAAAGTCATCCAAATTGGAAAGGAAGAAGTAAAATTGTCATTATTTGTAGATGGTATCATACTAAATAGAAAGAACCCTAAAGATTCTATAAAAAAAACTACCAAAACTGATAAATGGGTTTAAAAAAAGAGCAGGATACAAAATAAATATTCAGAAATTGTTTGTATATTTATATGCTAACAATGAACTATATGAAATAGAAACTCAGAAAACGATCTCATTTACAATTGCAGTAAAAATAACAAGGAATAAATCTGAGATGGTAAAAGACTTGTAATTGGCAAATTATAAGACACTAAAGAAAGAAACTGAAGAAGATACAAATCTATGGAGGCATATAGCATGTTCATGGACAGGAAGAATTAACATGGTTAAAATGTCCATACTACCCATGGTCATTCATACATTCAACACAATTCCTATGAAAATGTCATAGGGATTTTTTGTGAGACATTTTAAACATGTTTCAGAGAACTAGAACAAATAGTTCTAGTTCCAGATTTCTAAGTACCACAAATAACCCTGAATATCCATAGCAATCTTGAGAAAGAAGGAAGTTGGGGGCATCATGCTACCTAATACCAAACTATACTGCAAGTCCATAGTAATCAGACCAGCCTGGAACTGACATCAAAACAGACACACAGATCAATGAAACAGAATAGAGAGCCTAGAAATAGACCCATGCCTAGGTGGTCCACTGATATTGGACAAATGAGTGGGAGTAAAGACAGTTTGTTCAATAAATGGTGTTAGGAAAATTGAAAAGATACATGCCAAAAAATAAAATTAGATCACCTTCCTACACTACACACAGGAATAAAATCAAAATGAATGAAAGACTTAAATGTAAGACTCAAAACCATAAAACTCCTAGGAGAAAACATTGGCAATATAATCTCTTAACAATATTTTTCCTGACATATCTCTACAGGCAAGGAAAACAAATGAAGAGTGAATAAATGGGACTACATAAAACTAAAAAGTTTTTGCATAGTAAAGGAAACATTCAACAAAGCAAAAGACAACCTACTAAAAGGAAAGAAGTATTCCCCAAAGATACATCCAAAAAGAGTTTCATACCCAACATTTATGAACAACTTATACAACTTAACATCCCCCCCAAAAACACACACACACACAAAAACCAAAACAACCCAGTTAAACACTGGACAGAGGACCTAAATAGACACTTCTCTAAAGAGCTCAGGTGACCAAAAGACATGTGAAAAGATGCTCAATGTCACTGATCACCACAGAAATGAAAATTAAAACCATAATGAGATACCACCTCACACCTGTCAGACTGGCTATCATCAATAAATCAACAAACAACCAGTGTCAGAGAGGCTGTGGAGAAATAGGAACCTTGTGCACTGTTGGTGGGAAGGCAGATTGGCACAGCCACATGGAAAACAGTGTGTATGCTCCTCAAAATAAAGGAAAAGTTAAACTGTCTTATGAATCAGTGACTCCACTTCTGGCTGTCTATGTGAAGAAGCCACAACACTAATTTGAAAGACCGCATACACCCCGATGTTCATTGCAGTGTTATTTACAACAGCCGAGATTTGGAAGCAGCCCAAGTGCCCGTCAGTAGATGACTGGACTAAAAATGGTGTCACATGTATAAAATGGAACATGACTTGGTCATTACAAGGAATAAAACCTTGACATTTCTGACAGCAAGCATGCACCTAGAGGCTATTATGCTAATGGAAATAAGTCATACAGAGAAGGATAAAACTGTATTATTTCAATTACATGTTGAATCTGAGAGCAAAATAAATGAACACAATGAAAACAGACTCACAGATACAGAGAACAGACTAATGGCTGCCAGAGTGGGGTGAGGTCGGAGAGCTGGGTGAGAATAGGAATGGGATTGAGAACTACAAATTAGTCACAGGGATGTCAACTACAATGGAGGGAATACAGTTGATAATAATGTAAGAACTATGCATGGGGCTGGGGGGGTACTGGAAATATCAGGAGGACCACTCTGTAGAGTCTATGGTTGTCTAGCCCTACGCTGTACACCTGCACTAGTGCAGAATGATATTGAATGCAAACTGGAATTGAAAAGTAAGTCAAAACAAAAACAAAGAAACAATCATTTCTTAGCTGTTGAAAAGCCAGGTGGAAAGAGAAAAATGGGTGACACTTAAATTCCCTGTTTCCAGCAGAAATGTAGCAGAATCGTCTGTAATATTTACTCTACAACATGCAGGACCAGCCAAGTGCTGTGAATTCTCTTCTGGTCATATAACAAAAGTGCAAAGGAATGAACTTGTTAATAATATACAGGTGCTTCTAAAATATAATTGTAAGGTGATAAGGTACTAATGGAAACAGTCACAAATATGATTTTTAAAAGACTTTATTTATTTATTTTTTCACAGAGGGGAAGGGAGAGAGAGAGAAGAGAAAAACATCAATGTGTGGTTGCCTCTTGGGCGCCTCACACTGGGATCCTGGCCTGCAACCCTAACTGGGAATCGAACCAGTGACCCTTCGGCTAGTGCTCAATACTCTGAGCCACAAGAGCCAGGACTGCTTTTGTTATTTGTTTAAATGCATGATCGTTTCAGGGGACACAGAAAGAAGGCCTGAGCTCAGTACTTTCAGGCAATATCATTTGCACAAAGAAAGTTATCATGCAGAGATGTATCTGATCTTCCACAAACAAAGGAGAAGATGGAAAATTCTCCGTTTGTTGAAATTTGTTTATTGAAACTTTTCAAGTTTAGATGTAGGAATCACACCTCTTAGCACCAAAAGAAACTCGCGTAATATGTTTTGAGGAAGCACTGAATAAGGCCCCGACATTCCATGCCTATACATTCACCGAAGAAAATTGAAAATTATATCCATTAAAAGATACATACTCAAAGGTTAATTTCAGTTTATTTATAAATAGCCAAAATCAGAAAACACACAAGTGATCAGGAACATATTATGAGTAAACTGTTCTGTTAATTGCATATGGTGAATATAATATAAGGCAAAACAAACAAACAAAAACAAACAAACAACCCCGCCAAACACAGCACCTAAAAGGACAATAGCAAATGCAATGAACAATGTGATGGTGGTCCCTGGACTGGGAAGTTTTGGAAAGGCAGCATCACTGAGGGAGACCACACTATGGGTGCTTCTGGGTAGCATCGTCAGCCTGCAGAAAAGAGCCAGTGTTGGTTCCCCTGCTTGAGAAAACCTGGGGCCATTCTCCTGGGGCTACAGCACCCCAGTCACTCCCCATCCCAAGCCCTGCCCTCACTAGGGTCATGAATTCCCCTGAACCTGCCACCCCAGCCCTGGGGCCAGCAGCCTGCACCAAACCCTGCCCACCTTTTGTACATCACAGAGTCAGCGCCAGGCCCTGCTACAGACCATCTGGGCTGGAGACTACAGTGAGTGATGAATCAGTCTGCTCCCTTCACTCAGGTCCTGATTCTCCCAGGAATGGCGGGGCCTAAAGGACCTGGTGGCAGCTCTGATGGAGAGGAGGGCCTGTACCCTCACTCCTCCAGCCTTGGGGAGGGTCGCAGACAAACATCCCTCCTCTCCCTTCTCTCCCAGCCTCATACCTAGCAGCACAGGTAGATCTCAGTATGACGGTCCCAGCCCTGCCCCATCCATTCCTGGTCAGTTCTACCTGTCTCCCCTGTCACCTCTGCTCAGGGCAGGGCCCGACTGTGCTCAGGATCTGGGCTCCAGAGGGTGCTGGCTGATCATGCCAGGGTTCGGCCAGGAGTCCCAGGGGTGCCAGGAGAAGTGGCCTCCTCTAACCTTACTATATGCCTCCTTAGAGTCCTTACTGTTGGCCTACCTCCTTACTGGCACTTCTGAAGCCTGTTTCTCTAGGAGCATGGTCCTGAACCCCAGGCTTTTGATTTGGGTCTGCAAGCCCTTCCACCCTCTTCCTGGGACAAGACCCAGGCCTCCTCCTCTTAGCCCCCTGGAGAGTCCCCATCCCCTGGACACATCCCATGCAGCCACCCTGCTGGTCTCACATGCATGTGAGCACTGCCCTGCCCTGTGTGCCTGCTGTCCCCACACCACACCCATCCTGGGCCCAAACTCTCTCTCCCAAACAGAAAATCTGAGTGAGGACTGAATCACTAAACCCCTGCAGCATCAGCAGGGCTTAGGCCTGGTGTGGGCCCCCGTCTGTCACTCCGTCACCAACAGTGAGGAGACGGCAGATCTGGGGGCTGAGGCTGTCCATGCGACTGTTACTAAGTGGCTCTAGGTCTTCTTGTCCTGGTCTCATTCCCAGGACAGAAGGTTCAGCGAGGGTCGGGGGGGGGGGTGTGAATTCACCTTCCCTGTCCTCACTGCAGGCTGTCTGCCCCTCACTTCCACTCAGTTCCGCCCTTTGTACCTGTTACTGTAACAGAACACAGCCAGTGATCAAGCAGGTGAGGATCATAGGGATGAGTGAGGTGACAGGCCTGTTGGTCATGGCCTTGGACCGAGCTGCTCCTGGAGCTGTGGCTGGTGCACCTGTAGTAGAAAGAACAGAGTGTCAAGACCCCATTTATGAGGAGATGCCCCTCAGCCCTGCTGCCCCAGGTGACCCTACGATGCAGACAGGTTCCACCCCTCTATGTGTGGCAGCCACTGTGGCAGGTCCTGGGCTTGGAACAAAGAGAGGAGATGGGCCCTGTCTCCTTGGACTCCTACAGCTAATGGGGGAAGCAGGGTCACAACACACCCAGTCCCTCCTGCTGTGACAGAAGAGGAGGTGACACATGAGGAAGGCAGTAGAGCAGTCCTCACAGAAGCTGACATCAGAGGTGGTACTGAAGGATTTGCAGACACAGAGCAGGTGAGACGAAGAGCAAAGTGACGTGAGAAGAGGGCGCAGTGCCAGGAACAGGACTGAAGAGAGAGCGAGGCCCCCATAGTTGGAGTCAGCGGGAAACCCTCAGAGAGTGGTCCAAGGCTCTGTGAGGTGAGGGAGGGATGTGAGGAGGAGAGAGGGGAAAGGAGGGACATGGGATACGCCTGTGGCCGTTATTGTCCAAAGAATTTACCGTGGTTGACTCTCTTTTTCAAACACACACTCACACACATCCACACACAGAGCATCATACTTGCACACTCACACATCACATACTCAGACACATATACACACTCCATACACACTCATGCAAGTGCAGGTTTATCTTATCTCAAAGACCACGACCACTTCGTCCCAGACTTCTCTGTCACCTGTGGTCCCCAGCACTTTCGTCCAGTCCAAGTCTTGGAGCCATGTTTTGCAGTCTCCCAAGATCTTCTTGAGGAACTCCTTCATTTCGTTCACTTCCTCATCATCCTCCCACTCACCGCGGCACTTTTCCATCTTTTCACCATTGGAATTGTCTGCTTTATACTTTCCATTCTTCGGGTCAAAGACCAGAAACCTCTGTCCATCCAAAAGAAACTCCCAGGATCCACTGAATATTCCATTGGCATCACTGTGACACTCCAGCCTCACCTGCAGGATGCTAAAATCTGCCCCATGGTCCCCATGGAAAGACATCAGCTTCCACTCTTGACAAATCCTTTGCCCCCCACCTGGTGTCCACCTCATGTGAACCCTCTAATCCAGCCCTGCTCTCCCTGCCCTTTCTGCTTGGCTACGTGGGAAGGACCAACATACACTTTACTGTTTTATGTGAATACATAAATGTATTGAACCCCACAGTCTGCTCACTTCTGCACCTGGCTTTTCCGAACTTACCTTCGCATATTTTGCTGGCTTTTAAGCCAGCTAGTCTGTTTCTCATCTTGGCTCCCACATCTTTCAGTGTCTCTTTCATATCTTTTGAGACATTTCTGGTCTTTACCTCCTGTTTCTCATATATGACATTGTCGTTGTAACAATCATATTCAAGAATTAGCATTCTATCCATGACTACTTTGACCATACACCGCTGTTGTTCATTAAAACTAATGTTGAAAACACATTGAAGAGAATGAGCATCTGTGAAGAAAAAATGCTGGTGAGGATTGGGGTTAGAAGGAAAGAACCCAAACGCCCCCTCCCCCATCTCTGTGACAGCAAGACCATCCCCCTGATGGCTGGGCTGGCAGAGCAGGGACAGACCCTGCCTGGCCTCTCCCTTCACCAGGTGAAGACAGGGCCCCTCCCTTTGCTGGAGGAGGAGCAGGAGGCCTCTGCCCGGCAGGAAGCCGCACTTCCCCAGAGGTGTCCTCTCTGTCCACCAGGCTTATTCCATCATCACTCAGCCCATAACCAATCCAGGGTCGTGCCGGGTGGCTGTGGAGGAAAGGCCTAGAGGCCAGACGATTGTCGGGAAACAGCTCAGTGTCCTACGGGGACAGGGACAGCACGTAAGGGTCTGCCTCTGACAAAACTGGGTGAAGGGGGGTGGGGACAGGTCTAGATCCCCCCATGCCAGAAGGGACAGTTCACAATCGGGGGTCCTGATTTGGCACAGCCCTGGGCGATGGCGCCCACCTGCTGCGGGGATGGGTCTTGCAAGGTTGGCAGAAGGCATGGCTGCCGTGCGTGGAGCAGAATGGCCAGAACTTCTGAGCAGGTAGAAGAGGAAGGGGGCGGCTGGCTCAGAGAAATGAATATCGCAGGGGAAGGTAGAATATGAAAAGGCAGGAAAGTGTCCAATCAACCACGCACCGTGGGAAAGCCTAAAGTTCTTGTTTATGGAGCCTATGAGGAGAGCACGGATGGGAAGGACACCAGAATTCTCAGAAAGCTCAGTGATGCCTTTTGCTGAAGGCCAGGATGGTGGTGGGAGTCTGTGTTCCCCTAAATGGCTGCCAGCAGTAATGGGGGTGGCAAATGTCCAGATGACAAATCCCAGGTGCAGGTGCTCTATGTCAGGGAAATCCACACCATTTAAACAGGGCCTGGGAGAGATGAGTTTCATCTGTGAAACATCAGAGTTGCCCATCATGAGAGTCATTAGCTAAGGCAGGCCGAGTGCTCATAAGACAGAGGTGACTTTTCTGGCACAGACAGGAGCAGGGTCACTGGGAACAATGCAATGCAGCAGCAGGTGGCCCCCATCTTGACACCACAATGTACCAGCACCACCCTCTGCTCACACCTATGGCTTCATGCACTGTCTCCCACGCCCCTTCCACCCAGGAAGCAGTCCACACAAGGAAGGGGAGCACAGGCCCCACCAGTGGGACCCACACCCTCCCACATTCCCTCCATCAGAAGCCAGAGGCAGGACAAGGCGTGTCCTGAGTCTTCAACAAACAGTAGAGGAGCCCAGGGTGATGACTCCCTAGGGGAGCGATCACCCATACTTGGGACTTCCTACGTGCCCTGACTCTGGGCTGAGAAAACTGGGAGAGTGGCCACATCCTGTCCCCTAATTGTTTGCATGTTGTTTTGGCGCTTTCCCCCACAACCACGGAGGTGCCCAGTGCCTACGGAGACAGATGCCCAGAGGTCTGTGCAGACAAAAACTTACCCTTTACCCTTTATAGAGAAGGTTTGCAGCCTCCTGCCCTGACCTATGGCCTTTATGTAAAGCTGCCTCCTGGGCAGGTGGGAAATGTGGGTGTGGGACCAAAGGGGAGGGAGGGAGGGCCCTTCCTGACCACCAGCCCCAGGATCTCACTTGGGAAAAACATGCCCCCTGCCCCTCCTGCTCTAGGATCTGTGGGCCCAGAGCTGAGGCTCCAGCTGTGGGTCGTGGGGGATGGAGGCAAGGAGACACTTGGTGGAGGAACTGATTAGAAGGCATTAGAGACTCTGGTGTTCTTGGGACCCCCAAGAACTGGATAATAAAACGGTGTGAGCTGGCGAGGGGGACAGAACTCCCCAGGGAAAGTGGTGGAAGTGAACCTGGGCTGCAGACTGAACAGGCTGCAGAGTTTAAGGCTTCAGAGCAGTGACTCATCACGGGTGAGGTGGCGGCTGAAGGAAGAGCCTGGCTGAGGCTGCAGGTCTGCGGACCTGCCCCCCAGAGCTCATGGGCAAGTTCAAGGCGGGAAGGGCAGTGAGGGTGCAGGAGGGTTTCCCTGGGGAAGTGGTGTGAGCACAGTATCACAGTGTGCCGATGTCTGTGGGTCACGGCACAGTCAGGGGCAGGGGCTCCCAGGTCCCCAGAAGAACGACGGCAACCGGGGCAGGACAGCGGCCTGGGGATGATGCCCGTTTCCTTTGGTGGCTCCTCCTTCCCTCCTCCAGTCTCCCCAGCGGACGTGCCCGACCTCACCGCCACCAACCACCCGCCCCTCTTCTTTCCCGAAGGCAGCTACCTGCCTGGCACCGGGACCCAAAATGAGCCGGAGCAGGGGACTGAGGAGGGGACGGGGTCGTCCTGGCCTGAAGGTTCTGGGGCCGCCCTGGGCACTTCGTCGTCCTCGAAATTAGTGCCCCCCACTCCCTACTTTTCCCTCCCTGGCTGCTCCTGAACTTACTTCCCCGAACTCACCGTCCTGCGTCCCAACAGGATCCCCCGCCCCCGCACAGTCCCGCAGCACCACCAGGACCAGCAGGAGAAGACCGAACTCAGACCCCCTGCGCTCCACGGTGAGCACTGGTCCCAGCCTTCCTCGCTCCCCTCTATGGGCAGGTGTGCAGAGCCCTAGGCACAGTGTCCGCCCGTGTTAGACTCCCTCACGCTACCTATTTCCGGGGTGGGGGGGTCCTTTCCGAGCCAGGAGCGAGGAGCAAGGGAGGGGACCAGTGTGCAGAAGTATTGGCACTCAGGGCCCTGAGCCACCGGCCTGGGGTAATGCCTTTAGCGCCCCACTTAACCCACCTGTGGGCGGGTCTTGAGTCAGTGGGTGGAGATACAAGTCTTAAATAAACAACCTAACCCTACATCTAAAAGAACTAGAGGAATAACAACAAACAAAGCCTGGAATGAGTAGAGGGAAGGAAACAATTAAGATCAGAGCAGAATTAAATGACATAGAGACTAAAATAGAAAAAAAAAAAACAATTCAAAGGGTCAGTGAATCCAGGAATTGGTTCTTTGAAAAAATAAATAAAATTGAGAAATCTTTTATCAAACTCATGAAGAAAAAAGAGAGAAGACCCAAATAAATAAAATCAGAAACAAAAGAGAAGTAACAACTGATACCACAAAAATACAAAGGATTGTAAGAAATTAATATGAACAATTATATGCCAAGAAATTGGACAACCTGGGTGAAATTTCTAGAAACATAGTCATCCAAAACTGAATAAAGAAGCAGAAAGCCTGAATAGACTGAGAACAAAACTAGCAAAATTGAAGCAGTGATCAAAAAACTCTCAGCACATAAAAGCCTTGGACTAGATGGATTCACGGGTGAATTTTACCAAACATTCAAAGGAGACCTAACTCCTATCCTTCTCAAACGATTCCCAAAAATTCAACAAGAGGAAAGACTCCCACTCTTTTTACAAGGCCAGTATTGTCCTAATTCAAAACCAGGTAAAGACACAACAAAGAAAGAAAATTACAGGCCTATATCTCTAATAAACATAGATGCTAAAATCCTCAACAATACATTGGCAGTCCAGATCGAGCAATATGTTAAAAAGGTCACACACCATGGTCAAGTGTGATTTACCCCAGGGATGCAAGGATGGTACAATATTCATTCACAAATCAATAAACTAAATACACCACATAAAAAAACGAAGAACAAAAGCCACATGATCATATCGATAGATGCTGAAAAAGCATTTGATAAAATCTAGCACTAATTTATGATTAAAAAAACATTCAGCAAAGTGGAAATACAGAGAACATGCCTCAACATAATAAAGGCCATATATGAGAAACCCAACATCACACTCAATGGGCAAAACCAAAAGCTTTTCCCTTAAGATCAGGAATAAGACAAGGATGTCCACTTTCACCACTCTTATTCAACATAGTACTGGAAGTTCTAGTCACAGTGATCAGACAAGAAAAAAAAAAGGCATCCAAATTCGAAGAGAGGAAGTAAACGGTCATTATCTGCAGACAACATGATAGTGTACATAGAAAACTCCATAGTCTCCACCAAAAACTGTTTGGCCTAATAAGTGAATTTGACAAAGTAACAGGATACAAAGTCAATATTCAGAAATCAATGGCATTATTGTACACCAACAATAAACTATCAAAAATAGAAACTAAGAAAAATCCCATTTACTATAGCCACAAGAAAAATAAAGTTCCTAGGAATAAGTTTAGCCAAGAAGGTAAAAGACCTGTACTTGGAAAACTACAGAATGCTGAAGAAAAAAATAGAGGAAGATACAAAGAAATGGATACATATACCATATTATGAATCAGAAGAATTAACATCACTAAAATGTCCATATTACCCAAAGCAACTTACAGATTCAATGCAATACCTATTAAAGTACCAATGGCATATTTCACTGCTCTAGAAAAAAATACTCCAAAAATGTATATGGGACCAAAAAAGACCCCAAATAGCTAGCCTCAATCTTGAGAAAGAAGAACAAAGTAGGAGGGATCACAATACCTGATATAAAACTATACTACAAGCCGCTGTAATCAAAACAACCTGGTACATGGTACTGGCATGAGAATAAACACATACATTACTGAACAGAATAGAGAGCTCAGCAATAAACCCATGTCTTTAGGGTCAATGAATATTTGATACAAGGGGCAGGGGCATACGATGGAGTAAAAGCAGTCTCTTCAATAAATGATGTTGGGAGAACTGGACTGGTACATGCAAAAAAGTGAAACTAGACCACTAACTTATACTCAAAATGGGTAGAAGACCTAAATATAAGTTGTAATACCATGAAAGTCTTAGTGGAAAACATAGGCAGTAAAATTTCAGATATCCCATAGAGTAATATTTTTGCCAATATATCTCCTAGGGCATAGGAAATTTTAAAAATTGGGCTTATATCAAATTAAAAAGCTCCTGCACAGCTAAAGAAATCATCATCAAAATAAAAAGGGAACCAAGCCCTGGTTGGTGTAGCTCAGTGGATTGAGCGCGGGCCTGCGAACCACA